ACATGTAGTGCAGTGAATTAATATGTCCCTTCTAGCCATAGTCTTTGTAATTTCCACCAAATAACTGGGTAGGACTATGCAAATGTGAGGTGCTTGCGGCCCACCAATCGGATTGGATAGCTTGCTAATAATGTAAGTAAGATGTATGGCACCTTGGTGGGTGGGGCCATGCAAATAAGTTATACAGAACCCAATAGAGAGGACTGGTCAGTTTTGCCATCCTGCTAGGCTTAAAAGAGAGCCAATTCCAAAGCAGAATGGGGATCTCACTACCATCAAGAAAGAAGAGTCACTACCATCAAGAAAGAGTGCATCCTTTGCACCCGAGATCCCTGAGCTGAACTTCCTTGATCCAGAAGACAGAAAGCTATAGCACTGGAAATATGGTGAGAAATGGTGGCGGTGAAGTGATGGCAGCAGAGGCAGCAGAACCAGAACACTTGCCAGATACAGCGAGGTGGGCTTCAAGACCCACAGAGTAAGAAAGCTCAGGGCCTCTGGGCCAAGCCTTACTGGCAGAGTAGGGTACCTCAGGGCGCTTATTGGCAGAGCTAAAAACTTTGTGACACTTGTCCAAACAGGACAAAGGCCAAGAGGCCAAGGGCCAGAGAGAGGGCATGCCTTGGCACAGCTGATAAGAGGCTGTCCTGACTGTAGAACTGTATCCTAAGTTGTTCCTGATCCTGAATTTTGTAACCTGTTACTTCCCTAATAAGCCCCATAATCATGGGTATTGTCTTTGGGTTCAGTGTGGCCATTGCAATGAAGTATCAAACCCAGCAGAGAAGCAGAGGTTGCCATGAAAGGGACTATTGGTGTCAGAATTAGTAAAAAGGTTAGAGGGTGAAAGCATATCTGACCTCTGCCTCATAGGAATCAGCCATGCTGTTGATCTTGATCCTCCTCCTCCTCACTAGTGAAGTTAGAGGTCAGATGCCTCCCCAATACCATGTTTGCAGCACATTCCAAGGGCTCAATAGCCACATGCAACTACCATACTGCACAGTGCAGCTTTAGGAGAGTTTTTATTGACACTCAATTCTGAAGATACTGCTCTTCAGTCACTTGTAAGTATTTGATTTCTTTTAATGGCTTTTTGACATCAAATCACTGTGGAATCTGCTTGTGACCTGTTTCCAATCACCCACCATGAGTTCACGTACAATTTCAGTGACGGAAATACTACAAGTTTTAAAAAGTGAACACTTACCAAATGGTTTCTTCTCTGCTTATCTCCCAAAGCCCTTGGATATGTCATTGTGTTCAGGGCTGTTATTACTAGAACTAGTGGCAGCGTATCTTGCATCAGGGAACAGAGTAAAATTCTCCTTCCATTTCTAATGACTTCTAAATTACTTTTAAATTGTTTCTAAGTTTCATTTTTTTGTTCCCTTTTCCAAACACTGTGATTTCTGGGGCACTAAGCCCTATCACATGATGTGACCCTAGGTGTGTCAGCATAGAACTGTACTCCATAGGGTTTTCATTAGCTGATTTTTTTGGCAGTAGATCACCAGGTTTTTCTTCCAGTTTTAATATATTCAGCTTACTAATTTCACTAATTTAACTTCATGTATCTAATATATTATCATTTCAGCACATAATAAATATACACAAGGAGCCTCCGAGTGGAACCGAACTTCCCTGGGGTTGCCATGAGTCAAATTGAGTTGTAAGCAATTAGCTTTAAGAACTATCTAGAATTTGGGAATCTGGCTGGCAATCTAACCATTAGTGAATGCAGCTGGTGATCAGGAAGTAGATATAAATACACAGGTGTTAAAAATACACAAAAGCTCAAGCTCAAAAATATCACCCATGATTACCTCCATCTTGCAAATGAGAAAACCAAGGTTCAGAGAGGTTAAATGGGTCTTCTAATGTCACGTATGATTCCATGCCAAGCACCCCTTCTGCCCTCTTACATTATTTTGGTGGGATGACATTTTCTCTTCCAGGACTGAAGACACTATTAGCTGCTCTTCCATTGTGACTACCTAGTGTCTCCTTCCAGTGTTTATTTTCTCCACTTATGAATTTAAATAGTTGAGAGTGCATTGTCTAGAGCCAACTTGGCTTGGGTTGAAGTGCTGCATGACATAACTCAGTTTCCTCATCTATAAATTAAGGATAATAGTACTCGGCTCCTAATTGCATTAATAGGGCTTACATAAATATGTAGAACTTACACAGAATCTGGCCCATAACAAGCACTTAGTACATATTTTTTATAAAGTAAGAGAACAAGTTTTTCTGCTCTTCCCTTGAAAACTCTTAATATATGGAAACTTCTGGCACAGAAGGAATTTACATATTGACTATTGTTGTTGTTATGTGCCATCGAGTTGGACTCAACTCATAGTGACCCCTCCTTGGGTTTCCGAGGTGGTATCACTACGGAAGTAGATTGCCCAACCTTCCTTCCAAGGAGTGGCTAGTGGGTTTGAATCTCTAGCCTTCTGGTTAGCAGTCAAGTGCCTTAGGCTCTATACTACCAGTATTGACTATTACAATAATTGTAATATTGACTATTACAACCCCTCAAGCCCAGGAACATCTCTGCAACATTTCTGGACAGGATAGCCTAGTCTACTTGGCAGGGAGCTTGTTGCCTCAGGGACTACCTTTGCATGTTTTGACAGTCCTAATTTCTGGTATTGCATTGGGCAAATCTGCTGCAAAAGACCCCTTTGAAGTGTCAAAGAGAAAAGATGTCACTTTGAAGACTAAGGTGCACCTGACCATGGTATTTCCAATAGCCTCGTATGCATGTGAAAGCTGGACAACAAATAAGGAAGAGCAAAAAAGATTTGATGCATTCAAATTGTGGTATTGGCAAAGAATATTGAAAATGCCATGGACTGCCAGAAGAATGAACAAATCTGTCTCAAAATACAGCTAGCATTCTCCTTAGAAGCAAGAATGACCAGACTTTATTAAACTCATGTACTTTGGTCATGTCATACGAGACCAGCCCCTCATGGCTACCAGCATGAAGGATATCATACTTGGTAAAGGATGGGGTCAGCAAAATAGGGGAAGACCCTCAACAAGATGGATTGACACAGTGGCTGCAATGATGGGATCAACCACAGTAATGATTGTGAGGATGCAGGACCAGGCAGTGTTTTGTTCTGTTGTACATAGGGTAGCTGAGTTGGAACCAATTCTATGGCACCTAACAACTTCTGGAAAGACAATTGTACCACAGCACAAAAAGCATGGGCTGTGGAGCCTGGTTTTATGATCCTATCATCACTCTTCTCCCTTCCTCCCCCATAGTATATCATAAGACAATCTATGAAATTTTGGTACCAATTTTTCCAAATTACAATGTGCTTCAGAAGTTAACTGAAACTCACAAACAGTCCAAAGATGGAAGACTATTCTAACTCATTAAGTCAGGATAGTCTGTGTCATACATAAGAAAGATAAACCCCTACTAACATTCTTCTTTGTAGGAAGAGCATTACATCTCTGGGGTCTTTCTAGCTGAGACTAGTAATAACTCTTGCCCTTAATGTCATGACTGACTCTTGCAATCATGCAGGAAAAATGATCAAAACCTCTCCTGGGCTGGGATACATAAGGGAAATGGTTATCTTTTCTAAGAAATACTCAACTAGAGATAATTCAGAACTTCCACACATGATAAATCTTAAATGTACAGAAGTCCACTAAACTTAAGTCATTGAAATCAATCAAGTTTCACTTGATTTCCGATGATTTTCAGCTTTTCAAATAAGCCTTTTAATTTTATTCTTTCACAATTGAACACATAATTGGACTATTCAAGTCAAAATAGTATCCAACTGAAATAGAAAATGAGCTGCTTTCTACCTTTCTCTCAACTGCTCTAAACTGATGAGATTTCCTTCTCAACCCTTCCTTTTCCCACTTATTTTTGTAAAAGAGGACCAAAATGTAATGAAAAGGCCAACAGTATTGGCTGCTGAATAGATAAAGGGTAGGGAGCTGCTGGGACAATAATGATGGCTGGCAGGCAGCTCCTACCCACTGCAACAGCTTGACACAGCAGGGGCAAGAAGTCCTAAAGGACATGAGAAGTAGTGTGTCATGTTGCTGAATAATGTAGAAAAGAGAAGCAACTTCAAAATTCAATGTATTAAAGTCATGTATCATCTGAACTAGGTAACTACTGAGGCGAATTAATTTGTAACTCTACTTTAAGCTCATTTTCTAGAGGCAGTACTAATTGTAAGCCCAACAAAAACTTTCTAATCATGAGGTCAACTGAGTATATATGAAAAGTGCTTTCTAAATAGGAAAATCTCCACATCAAATTTTATTATTCCCAAATTAAATGAGATGAAATGTATTTTTTCAAGGACAACAGGTATTGTGTAAAGACCTAAAGATATCTGATTCATCTACCCTAATCTTTAATCTACTCAGTTTCCTCCAAATGCTCTCTAGAACAGGCCATGTATGTGAATTGGGCATGGGGACTGGATCTTTATCACTCTTTTGCATGCCTGTATCCATCCTGCTTGATGGCAGAAGACATTCCAAACAGCTCATAGGCCCCCAAGGAAGAAACTGGGCAGATTAAGGGAAAACAACCAAAACAGAGATGGACGAGACAAGTGTAGTTAAACCAACAAGAAACAGGAGTCAAGAAAGTAACAACAAAATGTATTTAAAAACAGACTTTTCCAGTTGGCATTTTGAATGAAAGAGCTAACAATTACATTCAACCCTCAGCATTGTGTTTCTTTTGCTCCTGTAGTCCTCTTGTGGCTTTAATTCTTGAAACTCAGGCAGCAGCACCAGACATTAAATCCCCAAAGGGAGAGGTATTATTAAACCTTCTGCTGGCCATTCTTTTCTGAATGCAAATGGATAAATTCTTAAGCCCTCTTACGAATTTCATGATGATCATTAGAAAAAAAAATGAAGTCAAACTTGCATACTGAAAATAAAAACAAAAACACACACAAAAAAACCCCTGCAGATAATAAATATCGCTGATCCACTTATTTTAAACAAAGTCCAATTTTATTTGTCTTAATATCCTTGCAGTCCATTGTAGACCTTCTGCACTGATCCTTGCTTAAGTAGCTGTTTGACACCTGAAGGAAGAATGAACAAATGAATCCATTAACTAAAAGGCACTGACTTCCCTAGAGCTTAAAGAGCATCTTTCATGCGAAGGCTCACAAAAGGCCTGATGACAACCACTGATCTGAATTAAACAAGCAAATAACAACTACTAACTTCACCACACAGAGATATCCCTGCATGCACATGGAAAACCAATATAATCCCTATCTTTTTCTGTCTCTCTCAGGCACACATCCCACACACATCCCACACACCCTCATGAAGAAAGAAGAGGCAATCAAAACGGAAAGCACTTCAGCTATCTTCCTTTCCTTCTTCTTCGTCTCCTCAGTTTTTACCTCTTTCACTGCTCTCTTTACTCTTTCCACTGCCAGTGAGTCAATTCTGACTCACAGTGACCCTAAAGGACAGAGTAAAACTGCCTCATAGGGTTTCCACAGCTGTAAATCTTTACAGAAGCAGACTGCCCCATCATCCTTCCACAGAGCGGCAAGTAGGTTTGAACTGCTGACTTTTGGTCAGCAGCCCAATTCCTTAACCACAGTGCCACCAGAGCTCCTTTTACTCCTTAAAAAACAAACAAACTAACTAACTCACTGTCATTGAATTCATTCCAACTCATAGCAACCGTTTTTGGGTTTCTGAGGTGGTAAATCTTTATGGAAGTAGATTACTTAGTTTTCCTTCTGCAGAGTGGCTGGTGGGTTTGAACTGCCAACATTCTGGTTAGCAGTCAGATGTCTTAGGCACTTACATCACCAGAGCTCCTTTTTACCCCTTTAGGGCCTACCAATTAGCCCTCTTCTCAACCAGTAATCACAGACATCCACCCCTAAGCCTCTAATTCTCCTAAGGTACACTTCATGGTGCCTTTTACAATTTGGTCTAGCTAATTTGTTCTAAGTGATATTGTTTCATACTCATACACTCATACAACCCCTATCTCCTGGTTTCAAAGCCCAGCTTACACAGCCTTTTGTCACAATGTCACATTAAAAATCCTTCATTTTTAATGATGCCTTTACAGAGAAAGCAGAATTCATTTCTATTCTTAGTTCACAAATGTTAGTAGCTGAAGTCATCAGGTTTTGCTTCTCCTGTCTTCTCTATGTAACCACCCTGTTCACATACTCACAGCCCCTGGTCCCCCTCTCCCAACACACATACTGCATACCTTCTCTTGCCTCCTCTGTTAACTGTTCTTTTGGAAAATCCACATCAAAAGTGATTATCAAAGAGCCCTTGATGTTGTTGTTATCAAAGTTGGGGAGCCCCTCCCCTTTCTTCCACAGCTTGGCTCCTGGCCTGGTGATCTTATCCCTGGAAATATGTACCTGGAAGACAAAGGAGAATGGGCTGGAATAGGATGGGTACTCCTAGAGTACACTGCACAGTTTCTAGGGAGCCCTGATACACAAAGATAGTGTTCTAGGCTCAGCAAAGAGGAAATGATGGAGGGGGTGGGCAAGAGAAACATCATTAGGACAATGTGAGTCAAAGAAAGAAAAGGTTTTCAAAATTAAAGCAAAGTTAAACACACAGGCAAATAAAACTGTAAGGCTTTTGCCAGCAGAGACAATAAGAACAAGCTGCCAAAGGCTGTGCAATCAACTCTGAGTAGCTGAAAGGTCTGTGGCACTGTTCTTGCTAGATATTCTAGAGCAAAATGACGAGAGAAGGCCGAACAGAGTGACACAGGAGTACCTGTGGCTCTAAATGACTGTCGTGACTGAAGCGATCTCAAAACCACCCATATCAAGACAAGGAACAGGACAATCAGTTTGTGTACCTTGTGACCATCCAAGTGAGGAATATCCATCTCAAAGCCAACCAGAGACTCAACTAGTGAGATTGTCACATTTGTGTATAAATCATCTCCTCTCCTTTCAAATATTGGGTGTCTAAAAGCAGAAACAGGAAAAAAAAAATTAACTTCCATTCTCCTTTGAGAAAAGTTCAAACAGTTTCTAGAAAAATCTTAAAAGAGAATGAACACCACTCTTTCAAATAGTAAGCATTTATTAGATACTCCTTCGTGTATAGTATTAATCGAAACTATATAGCTGTGCAAGGCTTATTAAGCCCTATTCTTAAGGAGCTTGTGATCAGAAGCCAAAGCATCATATAAGTGAAAGAATCATGTAAGTAATTCGATTATGGGAGAGAGAGAGAGAGAAAGAGAACTCTGGCAGTGGGGCAGGGGGAGATGGACAGACATCAGGAACGGGTTTGTGGAAGATTCCTCAGATGGCCTCATGAGGTCAGGTAGGCTCTATATATGCAGGTAAGTTGTGGGCTGAGAGGTAGGGAGAGTACAAGAGGAAATTTTGGCAAAGGAAAGGAGTTGAGAAGGTTCCAGGTATATTCAGGAATAGCACACATTCCAGTTTCTCTGGGGAGTGGTGAGAAAAATAAGGCTGGTAAAGAAAGCTGGGGAAGAGATCTCCGCAATTTTAGAGTGCAGGGAGGGGGAAGTCCTAGGCAGTGGGGGCCCATTTGTCCGTATCAGGTGGGAGCCCTATTTTAGTGAATCTTAAATACAAAGGTAACACTGGTTTCTGATGTGGTAAGTGGAGAAATAATAAACAAGAAAGCCAGAGTCCCCGGCAAAATTAGTATTTAAGCAGCATTTCATGCTGAAGAGAAGCTGCATACTATGTAATAGAGGCTCTTTCTATAGAAAAGTGTCCCATTCTTAAATGGTAACCGCTCACTGATCCTACCAATTCTTTCTTTTAAACATCTTTTGGATTTATAAGTCCTAGGTAAATAAATAACTGAGGCTCAATCCTAGGTCCCAATCCAACACTTGATGAATTATATCTTCAATATTGTGGTAGTCACAAAAAACAGATTAGGGCATCAAGGGCATGACACAGTGCAGAAGTCTGGAAATGCTCTGTTCATACCCACATGTCTTCATTCTGACTCCCCTAAAAAGCAGGAGGATCTAGTACTAGCTTACTTACTTGACAACTCTGATTCGGAACCGTAAGTCTCCTGGTTCCCCGTCCACGTGAGGCTCACCTAGTCAGAACAGATTACAGCACACAAGTCATACAAATCTATGTGGTAGGAGAGAGAGAATTTTTTTTAACCCTTTACCTTAGGCACTGGTTCTGTCAAATGTATCTGAGAACAGTGATTCTAGGTGCTTATATCAAATTTTAGGTGATAGGTGAAGATACCCTGTGCCTCAGATGCAGAAATAAATACCTATTTCCTAAACAAAGAATGACTCACTGACGTCTTGAACCTGAAGTCTTAAAGCTTTCTTTACCCCCTCTTTCAGAGTTTTCAATTTAATCCCAAAGGTGAGGTCTGAGAGAATCTTATTAATGCCAACTAGAGTCATAGGTCTTCTTTCATTGCAGAGTTAAAACTAATCCATTAAGGTCTGAATCCTCTAAATCTTGATATAACTTAGGCTACTTGGCCAGATATTTGAAGGGTAACAGTAATACTACTGCTTACGGTGACCAGTCATGAAAGACATAAAAGGGCTTCTGCATCCTAAAACTGGCTGAAAGGTGGTGAATCTGCCTATGCATTTACTGTGTGGCCATTAAGACATGGGATAAGGCAGGGGATAGGGGTATTCACAAGCAGAGAGCTGAAAGTTATAATAAAACAACAATATCAATATTTTACCTTCTCCAATAAAGGGGTACTCCATGCCATCTCTCACCCCAGGTTCTATTTCTACCTCCAGTGTTCGTTCTTCATTCACTAGTCTGAGCAAAGAGAATTAAGACAGAAAAATAAGAACCAAGCCCCAGATAGAAATTGAAGTTTTATTTATTCTATCAGAGGTTTTTCTTAGAAGATTATCATGTACCTCTACTCAACAAACATCTGATAACCATTATATTCTCCATATTTCAAGATCAGGATAAAGCTCTTATTATACTACAGAGACAAACAAATGCTGTCTCCAAAAAAGCCTGTAGGAGGCTGTCTACTCTGAACTGTATGATCAGTAACAGATCAAAGTACTCACTTACATAAATTCGCACTTGGAGGGATAGGATTATGTTATTAGGAATCTACCAGCAGAGTTTATCCTATCAGATTCTTTTTCAGACCTCATGGGAACTGATACAGTTCTGAGATACACACACACACACACAATTGGCAGTTGTGAGTTCTGAAGAGGAAGAATGTAACAAAGACTAGGCCTACATCTGGTGTCACAAGTCTGTCAGAGTCGAGTGCCAAGGAATGTATTAAACATCAGTGTGCACAACTGTTCAGTCAATATTATACTTAAAATATTTTCCAGTATTCAGATTCAATTAAATAGCTATTCTTACTACATAAAAAGCAAATATTACTTTTCCGATCTGAAACGTTGGCTGGGCATATAAGATTGCTTTAATATTTCAAGTAAGAAGAAAATGCAATGTTAAGATTTGTTAAGTATATTAAAAAACAAAGGATACTGCCTAATGGTTCAGAACTATAAAAAGAGATATTTAAAACAAATACTTTTTGAAAAAACAAATGTGTATTTCTTTGCTCTATCCTTTAGCCTCTAGTAGAACATGAGAAAGAGAGAGAAAGAAGGATAAAAATCTGAACATGTGGACCCATCAGCATCTTACTATGTAACCTGGATCATCAAAATGTCTCCTGTTTGAACAAACAAGGCATTTTCACTTACTTGACATTTGGGCACTCATCACAGACCACCTCCTGGGTCATTTGGAAGCGCCCTGGGCCTAGCTGGGTGGTTCGCATTTCTTGCCGGCAGTTGCATTTCCGTTTGCCGGGTGCCTGTCTTGCCACAGGTTTGTTTCTAACTACCTAAGAAGTACACAAACAACATCAGCTGCATCAGGTACTTCTGGACTGAACTCTGGCCCAGGGACATCAAGCCTGCTCTCTCAAGTAAAACAGGCTTTTTTTGTTTCCTCATCCAACTAGAGCCCTTACATGTGCCAGCACTGGAAATTCTCCTTTTCTGGCAAGCTCTCTCTCAGGGTGACCTAAAGTTGGCAAAACTCTTTGAGGAGTTACAAATAGCCCCCAAACATGAATGAATCAAACAGACATGTAATGACTCAAATTCTAAAGTTGGTAAAGGAGAGAGAAAGGTGACAAAGAACTGAAAAATACTGTGTATGACATCAGCATTTCTATTGCCACAACTAAATGATACTGAATTATAGTTCACAGAATTTCTTCAAAAGAGAAAAAAAAAGAAATCTGAGCTGTGTAAAGCATGATCCCTGAAAAACAATCACAGCCTTCAAAAGCTGGTATGTGACTATAACCTAATCCTATGATTAACCTACTGAAATACCTCCTTGTTTCAGGCAACTCAATCTAGGACTGACTGTTTTCCAGTGCTATCTCAACTCAGATACATGTAATTAGAGAGACAATAACCATTTCTTTGTAGCTGACTTGTAATCAAATATTATGATTGCTTTAAGTATGTCAAAATTACTGTATATACAAGAAAATGTTTTCCTATTTTGGCTGTTTATTCAGTCAAGCACCTAAACACAAGGCAAGTATGCATATGCAGCAAGATGACACAAATACCTGAAGGAAAATCTCTCAAGCCTACTAACATAGGAAAGTCCAGGTCAACAGAATAAATTATTAACAGTAATAACAGTTACTAGAGCAAATACTTTATAGCACTTAATATGTACATACATAAAGGCATTTAACCCTTGAACAGCCTTATGAGGTAGGTACTATTATTATCTTGATTTTACAGGTGAGGTAACAGAAGCAGAGAAAGGTTAAATGTTAAAGAACAATGACTAAGGTTACATAGCTATTAAATGGCAAAGCCAGATTCTAAACCAGACAGTGTGGCTCCAAAGGCCATGCTTCTAATCACTGTACTATTTACTTCTCAGGGTAGTTTTTTCTTAAAAAAATAATTTAAATAGAAAGTCATATCCTTTGCAATAATTAGATTAAAAAGTAATTTGTTTAGGAACACATTAACTGCACAAAATGATGTATACTGTGTATTCCCAATGGCAGCAGAAGAACAACACAGGAGTTAATGAAGCTCACCTCTTTTCTCCCACCTATACAATCTCTCCTGTTTTCAAGGTAAGACGGCCCATATCTTTAATACCCCTTTCTCCCAAAAGCTTTACAAGCCAGTCACATCTTCTGTAATTGTCTAGTCCTCTTTTCTCAACTATTCAGAACAACACACAACCAAGAAGAAAATGTTTACTTCTTGTCAGAATGGCAACAATACACAGGCTACTAGCTGTCTTCTCCAAAATTAACCCTGGAAAAACTATGAGAAAACACGGATTTTGGAAATAACAGAAAATTTGTGAGAAAACTCCAGAGATGGAAGTCTGTTTTGAACTGGTATGTGTGTAGCATGGTGCCTATAACCTGAGCAATAGGAGCTAGTGCTGGCAGTGAGAAGATGCTAGAAAAAAAAGTTTTAAGTTCTATTTTTACCTCTTTCCTAAACTACCTTGCCTGCCCCTTCTACAGATAGCAATAGAACCCCAGAGACCAAAAGCAACAACAAAACAAAAACAAGGTAACAATCAAACAAACAAATGCAATTAAAACCACTGGGTAAGAGCTTGCCCCAATATGCTCCACCAGGAAAAGAGAATTGCCAATATCCATAGGGGAATATGGACTCACAGGCCAAATAAACTCAACACCTGAGGAGTAAAACTACTTACCTCCTCAACAAAAAACAACAAACTGGATAACATATGTATTTTAAATAAATATATTGGAGAAGACAGAATTTAAAGAATTTAAAACAAGCTTGATAATATTTAATGAGGTGAGAGAAGATATTAGCAAAATGAAATAGATATTAAGAAATCACAACAAAACCAAGGAGAAATATAATGTATAAAAATGAGCTGAAATAAAAACATAGCAAATGAGATATATTAAAATGGATATAGCTAAAGACAGAATTAGTTAGAACAACAGAATGAGGCCACCTCCAGAAAGAAGGATAAAGAATATATGAGTCTGTATGTGTATACTGTATACACACTCACACATATATAAAAGTTAAGAGCAGATAGATGTAGCAGTACTAGTGGAAAGGATTTAGTATTTGAAGAAATAATGGAGATAAAATTCTCAGAATTAAAAAAAATATAAATAACATGAAATTAAAAGATTTCAAAGTGCTAGTAGAAAATACAGGTGACTAGCATCCTGACTTTTGAGCAGAGAATAATTTCTTAAAGAAGACACCAAAATTAACTATGAGAGAAAATATTGATGGTTTTAACCACATTAAAATGAATTACTTCTGTTTATTTAAAGAAAGCTTCAATATAATAAAAAGACAAGCTACAAATAGGTAGGATATATTTGTATCCTAACAAAGGATTAAAAGAATGAAATATTCTTAGAAATCAACAGAAAAGGACAAACAACCCAATAGAAAAATGGGTAAAAGACATGAACATGCATTTCACATAAGAGGGGACACATGACCACTAAACACATGAAGAGAAGCTTACCCTAATTCCTAATCAACAAAAGGCAAATTAAAATCATGATGCCGATACCATCCTATATCCTTTATGGGCAAAAGTTAAGAAGTCTAATAATTCCAAGTTTTAGAGAAGTGGTGAATCTATAGGATCTCTTATAAACTGCTCATGGAAGTGTTGGGACAATTTTGGCAAACACTACAGTATTATCTTATACAATTAAAGATTTGTTCATATTACCCACAAACTTTACTCCTAGATGCATACCTACTCAAGAAATTCTTGCTCATGTGTACTTGGATTTATATACAAGAATGTCCACAGAAGCACTATTTCAAATTAATAAAAACTGGAAATACAACCTAAATCCTACTGAAAAATTGTGGTATATTTACACAATGAAATTTTATTTAGCAGAATTATATTTCTACAAATAACAACATAGATGAATTCTAATGTTATGGATTCAATTATGGCTCCCAAAAATATGTTTTGTAAATCCTAATCTCTATGCCTCTGGCTATAATCCCATTTGGGTATATGTTGTCTTTGTTATGTTAATGAGGCAGGATTAGTATAGAGTACATATTGAGTCACTCTATTTTGAGATATAAAAGAGATTATACAAACAAACAGAAAAAGGGAATAAAGATGCCCAGCCACATGAAGACTGTCTAGGTTCAGAAGCTCAGAAGAGACAAAGACCTTGCTCCAGAGCCAACAGATAGAGAAAGCCTTCCTCTCAAGTTGGTGCTCTGAATTTAGACTTCTAGTCTCCTAAACTGTGAGAAAATAAATTTGTTTGTTAAAGCATTCACTTGTAGTATTTCTGTTATGGCAGCACTAAGTAACTAAAGCAGAATTTGGAACTAAGAGTGGGATGCTGCTCTAACAAATGCATAAAATGTCAAGGTGGTTTTGGAACTGGGTCATGGGTAGGGAATATATATGGTGTCAGCAACAGAATGTTGTTAGAAATGTAGATGTTAAATGTGCTTCTGGTGAGGCTTTAAAGAAAATGATGAACACATAGTTGGAGAATGGAGGAAAGGCGATGCTTTTTATGCAGTGGCAAAGAACTTGTCTGAATTATGTTCAAATGTCTGGCAGACAGTAGAACTTTTAAGTGATGAAGTTGGATCTCTGGCTGATTAGAGTGTTAAGCAAGATCTGAAAGGGGCCATGTAGTGTCTTATAAAATGTGAGACTAAAGAGACAGACTTATTGAACTGTGCAAAGCCACATTCTCCAGGATAGAGCATCTATAGGCCATAAAATAGATGTCAATAAATTTAAAAACCCTGAAATACCACAAAGCCATCTTCTCAAATCACAATGCTATAATATTTGAAGTCAACAATAGGAAGATCAAAGACAAAAAAAGCAAACACATAGAAACTGAATAACCCCTCCCTTAAAAACTACTGGGTAATAGAAGAAATAAAAAATGAAATTAAAAAATTCCTTGAATCAAACAAGAATGAAACAGATTTTGAATCTTTACAAGTGGTGGACATTCTGAATATTAAAGTGACCGAAGGCACAGCCATTTTGAATCTTTACAAGTGGCAACCATTTTGGATTTTAAAGTGATAGCATTCTCATTCAGATTCCAGGGACCTAAGAATAGGCTCTATTTGCCAAGGTTGGCAGGGACATACAAAAGGCTGACAACAGGAAAGGCGACAGGTGATGAATGTATAAGTGCTGCCAACTAGTGAATAGAGGAGCACAGCACAGTACCCTGCTTGTATAGATAACATACAAAGAAAACAAAAATTGTGGGCAAGTCACTCCAACATACAATCACCAATTACAAATACAAAAAGGTCACAATACCTCGGAGACAACAGAGCATCATAGTCCACACAAAGAAGCAAGACAAAGCAGGAGAAACAAGGGACCAGGATACAGACCCCAAACACATCGCTGAGGGAAGATGCAGCACTGGAACTCCCTGATAAGGAATTGAAAAGAATTTTATATTTAGGTATCTTCAAAGGATTAGAGACAGATTAAGGGAAACACAGACAAAACCCTAGAAGATTTTCAAAAGAAAATACAAGAACAATATGACAAAATAAATGAAAAATTAGAAATGATTCAAAATCTATAGATAGAATTAATGAAATTGAAGACAAATACTTGAATACTTCTTTGGAAAGGGATCAATCAGAAAAAAGATCAAAACAAAATGAAGAAAGCCTAAGGTTCATGTGGAATACCATCAAAAGGAATAACCTATGCGTCATTGGAATCTCAGAACAGGAAGAGAAAAATAAAACCACTGAGAAAATTGTCCAAGATTTG